ATGGCTGTACTACTTTCCTACTGGTTGGAAAATTGAGTGGTAGGCTGAGTTTACCCAGTGTCAAAGGGCCCACTTCCTAAGTGTATTCTAAAATGTATTCCAGACCGGGCGCAGTGGCTCACGCCTGTAATCCCAACACTTTGGGAGGCCAAGGTGGGCGGGTCACTTGAGGCCAGGAGTTTGAGACCAGCCTGGCCAACACGGCAAAACCCCATCTCTACTAAAAAAAAAAATTAGCTGGGCATGGTGGCATGTGCCTGTAATCCCAGCTACTCTGGAGGCTGAGGTAGGAGAATTGCTTGAACACGGGAGGCAGAGGTTGCAGTGAGCTGAGATCACGTCACTGCACTCGGCCTGGGCAACTCTCTCTCAAAAAAAAAACTGTATTCCAGAGAATATCTTAAGAACAAAAAGTGTTCTGAGATTAAATAAATTTGGGAAACATTGGTTTTTACAAAGGCAAAGTAGATTTTTCTATTGCAGGATTGCTTATTATATCTTTATTGTTTTAATAGCAATAAATATTGTTACTCCACGAAAGTGAATACTTGGTAAATGTCATCTTTCAAACCTGACTCTGGAAAATTTTCATTCAGTTTCAGGAGCTAGTGTTCTGTGAAACACACATTAGGAAATGCTAAGCTGGAGACTGTTAAGATAATGAGTATCTCAAACTGTGGCTGAGTAAGATTTCTTAGGAATTTCTTTTTTTTAAGAGACAGAGTCTCACTATGTTGCCCAGGCTGGATTCGAACTCCTGGGCTCAAGCAGTCCTCCCATGTTGACCTCCCAAGTAGCTTGGACTATAAGCACATGCCATCGTGCCTAGCCAGTTCCTTAGAATTTTTAAATTCAATACAGATAGAGTAGGCTGAAAGAGCAGTGGTAATCAGATGCTCAAAAAAGGAGAAAAATGAAAAACTTTGGACGTTTAGAATAATCTTTAATCTGTCTCACTTGAGTAAGATCTAAATGTGATTCGCTTCTTGTGGTAGCTGTGATCACCAGCCAGAGCAGGCCACCCAGTGAGGAGTGTTATTATCTGTATTGGCCTAATTCACAATAGTAGATTTGAAGTGTGTACTTTGAATATTTAGGTGATACTCTTCAACAGTGGGTCAATTTTAAGAAATGTTGACAGCAGAATCACTCCTTATCCTTGCACTTTTCACAGGGAAGTGAGCCTCTTGAACCCTCATACATAGTGGGGCATGTGGCCTCAGCACCCAAAGAACAAAACCTGACTACTTTATTCAATGACGGGGAGCACAGTCAGGTATGCTTTCCATGGTGTCCACGGTGACAGCCAATCCCCAGTCTACTTCGTCATTTCAAAACTAGTCTAAGTCGAAATTGATAGGGAAAAACTCCACTTGACCCTGAAATTGCTTTCTAAGCATCTTTGTGATCTTAGCTCTGGGGCCTGACTTTGTCTTCTTTGTCTCTTCCTTTTTCTAGTCTTTTTATGGATCATAGGGGGAAATTACAGATTGACTGTTTATTATAATCTTTCCTGTTTTAAATCACAGGGTCTTAAAAATGATTTCGTTCGGAATATTCTTTGGACATTTGAAGATATCCATATGTTGGTTGGCTCCAACATGCCCATATTTGGAGGAGGCAGATACCCAGCAGTCAGCTTACGTCTCAGGTAAACCAACATCGTACCCCTTCTCAAGCTTATGGTATTTAAATTCTTCCTTTAAAATCTGTTCCATCAGGCTGAGGTTGCAGTGAGCCAAGATCATGCTACTGCACTCCAGCCTAGGCGAAAGAGCAAGACTCTTGTCTCAAAAAAAGAAAGAATCAGTGTTCCATCTGTTTGGGCATCTTCCTCTTTCTCTAGGTTTTTTCACCTCCCTCCTTCCCTTGCCAGTTGAAATGGCCACATTAAGGAAGGAGCTACTATCAACAAATGCTGAAAGGCAGGCCTATAGCCGAGTCTTCATTCTAGACCTCATTGAATAGAGCCAGAGGTTTGTTGGACTGAACTAGTCTTAGGTCTGAACCTACGACTTGTGAGAATATTCAAGACAGTTTATTTAATTAGTTAGAGAGTTTCCTACTAACTACTTGTGAGCATTTTGCTTAATGCTCCACATGTATTTGTTGACATTAGCCAGTGTGAATTCTAACTTAAGCATGGTCTTGTATGGTATTCAGTCTTTCTCAAGTTGTGTGAGGAGCAGGCAGTAGGCTGACAGTCCTTTCCTATCATATTGTCTTCTATTCTTACTGAAAACTTAACCAGTGTCAGTTAGAAATACAAGCAAGCTTTTGGAAAGTTGTTAAGTATAGCACAACCACTGAGCTGCATGTGCATATCTTGTCAGAAAAGAAAGCATAGATGGCATTTTCTATCAAGAGAGGACAGCTTAAAATACTTAAATGATAAAATAACTTTCAGATGATTCATTAAGGAACATCTTAATTAAACCAAATAACGCTAGAACTGTATATTTTTAGGGATAACAACAAACCAATTAATGTGCTAACTGGAATTGACTATTGGTTGGACAACTTGATATGCAATGTACCAGAGCTTGTGATGTGTTTTCATGTAAACGGAATTGTGCAGGTAAGATACAGTGTGATTTTTGTAACCTCTCAAACGCAAATTGGTACAGAGAGTTCCTCACCAAAGTCTTTATGGCCTTAAAGTACTAAGGTACATTTTTGGCAGGGAAGATAGCTGTGAATAAACTGAATTTGAGTGTACATTTAAGTTGGTGATAACAGAATTCTAGATGTTCTAGAAGTGTAATTTTACAGGTAATTTGGAGGAAGTTCATAAATGTATGAAAACCTGCATTTGTAGCCATAGAAGTCTAATTTTAATGCCAAGCACTCATTAATAATTAACTGAAAGTGTCTATACAATGGAGGCGTTTCTTCATTATGCAAATATCTACTCAGTACACGCAAAGTTTTAGGGAAGGATCTTGTAAAAATTGTGTATGGTAGATAGCTTATATAGCAAATTCTTATTCAGCATATTCTATTTAGAAGACATGTATCCCCATTATAAGTGTTGGGGGAAGCCAGGCATGTTGGCTCATGCATGTAATCCCAGGCTACTCAGGAGACTGAGGCAGGAGGATCACTTGAAGCTGAGAGTTTAAGACCAACCTGGGCAATGTAGTGAGACCCTAACTGTAGGAAAAAAACCCACACACTTAGCTGGGCATGGTGGTGCATGTCCGTAGTCCCAGCTACTTGGGGGCTTGAAGCAGGAGGATCACTGGAGCCCAGGAATTTGAGGCTGCAATGAGTTATGATCGTGCCACTGCACTCCAGTATGAGTGACAGAGCAAGACCCCGTCTCAAAAAAATAAAAAATTTAGAATTTAAACAATAAATAATGGTTGAAGGAAAACAAAGAATAAGTTTGGTTGTTACTCAGAAAGAGATAATCCAATGGGAAATAATATGCAGAGAAAACAGTCGGAGACAGATAAGAACGAGAAGTGTAATACACACACACAAGTCTAGATCATCAGAGGAGGGGCTGAGCACTGACACTGGAAGAAAGACTTGGTGGAAGAAGGGCCATCTTCACTGAGTCCTGATAATAGGTAGTATCCCAAAAAATAAAAGCTGGATTTCAAAAGTCTAGTGTAAATACATGAAAGGATTGATAATAAATCCAGCTAGGGAACACAGGATTTAGGTAGCACAATAGCTGCAAATAAGGTTGGAAAAGTCATGATCAAGTGATGGAGATCTTAAATGTTGAGCTAAGGAGTATGGACTTGGTTCAGTTGGTAATCTGGAATCAGTGAAGGCATCTAGGAGGGGAAATTTGTTGTGTTAGAATATTAATTTAGAGATAGCATATAGGATAGACAAGGAGGACTTAGAGACAAGAAAACCGGAGGCATTGTACCATTTTGCTAATAGTATAATGTACTTCCACTAGAGAGGAACTGTTAAGAATCAACAATGGTAAGAATAGATAGCATTTATTGAGTGCTTATTTGATCCCAGCACTTTGCTGAATGCTTTAAATGCTTTACCTTATTTGATCTTCTTAGCTACCTCACATGCTGTTATTCCTATTTGATGGAAAGAGAGACTGAGGATCAAGGAGCTCAAGTGAGTTGCCCAGGGTCACCTTAGTAGTGAGTGGCGGTGCCAGTGTTTGTGCCTCTCTCTGGCTGAGGACATGCTTTGAACCATTATATTGCAACCCAGTGATTCTTAACCTCGTTGTGCATCAGAATCACTTGTAGCCTCTTTAAAAATGTTCTTGCTTGGGCCCCCAGTGTTCTAGTATCAGTAGGATGTGCACCTCTTGTCTTTTCAGAAAGTCTGGTATATGATTCTGGTTTGCAGTCTTCATTGAAAACCACTGTTAGACCATCTCCCTAAATGGCAACATTTAGTGGGAGGCTGAGGTGGGAGTGGGGAGCAGGAGAAAAGAGACAGGCAGATAAAGCGTTAACAAGGCGGAGGGGAAGAGGAGTCAAAGGGGATTCCAGGGTTTAGGGGCTAGAATAATGGTGGTGTCATTTAGTGAGAGAAGGATGTTGAATTGGTTTAGACAGGGAAGGTAGTATGTTTTTGTCACATGTTCAGTTTGAGGAAAGTATAAAAATGTCTAGTGAGCATTTTGAAGTTGCAGCCATTAGAGAAATAAATTGAAGCATCATCTACCTAGATACTGTCAGATTTCGTCACCTGAGAATCTATTAAAATCAGGCATTGGAGCCTCTCCCCATAGGGGTAAAAATAGAAGGGCATTTAGAGAGAGAGAAGGAGAACAAGAATAGCGCAGATTAAAATATGGGAAAGGAGTGTTTTGAGGAAGGAAATAATCAACATTGGGGACTTCAGTGAACAAAGTGGGGTGAAAATCAACCTCAGACGATTGTGTTTGGTCGTACATTCCAGTTGATTTAAAGTTTCTAGTTTTAGAGTACTTCAGAAAATGTGGTAGGAGGTGTTTAGGAAAGTGTGCACAGAAGACAAACAAGAAAAATGCAAAGGCACTGTTAAAATAGTGGTAGTAATGTCCATGAAGCCTTTACTCATATTGCCACCTCCATACCCGCCTGCTCCATCCCTGTGAAGTAATGAAGTCCATAGACAAGAGAAGTGTCTGCCAGAAAAGTTTCCTGAATGATTCTCTCTCCTTGAGCCACCGACTCTAGTATCTAGCAAAAGAAAAGGCCAGAAATACATGTGTTTTAAAATCTTGCTGGGTAAAGCCTACCTTCATTTACCATCTTCCCAGTTGAAAACCATTAAAGTGGAGGAAAAGTATTCAGTATGATTTGTTCCATGTTAGAACAGAAATCAGATCGTGCCTAAATCTAAGGTTCTAAATCTGGTAGTGATTCTCCGTTGAAATTACCCACTAGTGAGCTGCCCTTGCTGATGGGGTGGATGAGATTCCTTTGGGAGGCTGCAGCGGAAAACAGATTAAAAACCACGGGTTTAAACGCTTTCATGCTACACAGGTCTCTATTTGCAGGACTTCTGCATTTGGTTGCTTTTTTAAAAGAAAGGTGTTGTTTCCTCGGGTTTTCTCTTAAACTGCTTTCCATCTGTCTGTGTTTTACAGAAATATGAAATGATAAAGACAGAAGAAATTCCCAATTTGGAAAATTCTAATTTTTCTACTAAAGTCATAAAAGACATTGCACAGAATATTTTATCATTTTTGAAATCTAATTGTACCAAAGAAGGACATACCTATTGGCTCTTTAAAGGTAAGCTATTAATACTTCTTGAGTGAACAATAATTGATTTGAGTAACTGTTGTAAAATGAGGCTTGTTTTTCTTTCCAGCAAGTGGCAGTGATATAGTGAAGCTCTATGACCTCACTACTCTTTGTGAAGAAACTGAAGACAAATACCAAAATCCATTCACAATGCCAGTGGCCATTCTCTTGTACAAGTGAGTGCTTTAAGAATTTTAGATGAAGAAGTAGCCTTATATAAAGTTTTAAAGCATACAGCCACAGTATCCAAACCAAGGTTTTTAAATGCTTTTAGGTTTTCATAGTAGCGGGAAAGATATAAAATACACATTGTACCAAATACTACTCAGCTTTCTTATGACACAATAGTGTAAACATTTTGGGGGTGGTGGGTAAAGTGTAAAGTTTAATATTTTGTTGTTTCTTACAGCTCTTTGTTGGAAAGAAACAAGAGCACTCCTAGACTTGAGTCTTGCAGACAGTGATGAATGGTGGGCAGTAAAGTTGATATAAACTCTTTTTTTAGGGTTGCTTGCAACATGATGATGAAGAAGAATCAAAATAAGAAACACTATGGAACTATTAGAACGTTGCTTCTTAATTGTCTTAAATTATTGGACAAAAGCAGGCATCCTCAAGTAAGATTAACATTTATGTATTCTCTAAAACAATTCTAGCATTCTAACAGGGAATTGTTACCTAGACAGTAAAGCTTCCCGAGTCATATTCTGTAACTGCCCTATTCAGTGTGGTAGTCATTAGCACATGACATGTAGCTGTTGATCACTTAAAATGTGCTTTGTCTGAATTGACATGTGCTGTCAGTGTAAAATACACCCTGAATTTTGAAGGTTGGGTATCTGTACATATTACATGTTGAAATGCAATGGTATATATATTGGATTAAAAATATTTAAGTTAATTTCTCAGATTCTACTACTTCTTTTTTTTTTTTTTTTTTTTTTTTTTTTTTTTTTTTTTTGAGACAGAGTCTCGCTCTATCACCCGGGCTGGAGTGCAGGGGCGCAATCTCTGCTTACTGCAAGCTCCCCTTCCTGGGTTCATGCCGTTCTCCTGCCTCAGCCTCCCGAGTAGCTGGGACTACAGGTGCCTGCCACCACGCCTGGCTAATTTTTTGTATTTTTAGTAGAGACGGTGTTTCACTGTGTTAGCCAGGATGGTCTCGATCTCCTGACCTTGTGATCCGCCCACCTTAGCCTCCCAAAGTGCTGGGATTACAGGCATGAGCCACTGCGCCAGGCCTCCACAGATTCTACTTTTTAAATGTAGCTACTAGAAAATTTAAAATTTCGTATGTGACTCATGTTACATTTCTCTTAGACAGCACTGCTCAATAAATTTAGAACTCATGGAATTCTAACAGTAGCGCTCTTAGTTCTTTGTTTTGTTGCTATTAGACCTTGATAACACTTTGTTAATATAAATAGGGTTCACATTCCACACTTAAGGATATTAAAGCATCTCTTAAATAAAAGCTAGTAACATTTTGTTTTAAAGAGAGGGGGGAAAAACATCTCTTAAACTATTCCCTCAGTCATGCTCCCCACAATTTTATACCATCCTTACCCTCCGTTGTTTGCTTCATAACTTTATTTTTCACTGTAAGGCTAATGGTTGTATCCTGTTCAAATCAGTAAAGGTATGTAGGATACGCAATTTTTCTTTGAAGAGCCAAAGTAATTTTAATTGTAGCCACATTTGATTTAGAGATAAAGATTATGCTAGAGACCAAACTCAGAAATTTTTTTGAAGAAAAATAGTAAAACATTTTGTTTCTGACTGAAATATCTAATTGCTGACTGAGGTGGCAGTGTATAGTGGAATTTGAGTGGTTTATGTGGATGTTAGAAAATGGTGTTAAGACCATTGTCTGTGATTAAGAACTGATAAATAATAGAATGGGATAAATGATTGTATATAATTGCTAATTTTAAGAGATATCAGAATGGACTTTTCCCTTGTTAATGTAATTTTTTTTTTTAGAACCATAGATTGTATAATAAATATTAGTTGCCTATTATAGAGAAACTTGAATTAATTTATAGTTTGTAAGGAAAAATTCTGGTTTCTCACTTGGTATAGGGTGGTATTAATATTTGTTAATATTTTAGATATGACACTCAATACTCAAAAGCTTTTGTTTGTCTCCAGTGAAATTCAGTTGACACCTTTTAAGAGAGAAGGCTCAGGGTGGAGTAATTTCAGGAAATAGGAAATGCGTCAACCTATAAAGATTTTGTGGAGCATACTCAGAGTATTGGTAGCTTTGAACTGGGAACATTTCTGTGTGTGTTACAGTCTATATGGTGGAAACAGCCTGTGTGCCGACCTCCTTCTAAAATTTGTTAGTATGGTATTAAAATCCACGTATTTTTTTATGACAGTAATTTACACATATTTCTCTCTTTTTCATAAGATTATTGCTTCCGCCAATTACATGCTTTCAGAACTTTTTCAATTGGATGAACCTAAAAAGGAAGAAAATTCAGAATCTCCTTTAAACGAGAATTCTGATGAAAGTTATAGTGAAGAGGAGGAAGAGATGCCCGACAGTGATGAAAATGGATCCTATAGCACCAGCTCTGATCCATCGGATGATAGCAAAGCAGTAGCTATAATCAAGTCCGTTGGAGAACTGTCAGTTCCAGAAAAATACAAATCTATTCATCAAATCAGAGTAAGCCTTTAGAATTTATATTAAATTGTTATCAAGGAAACATAATTGTTAATCGAATATAGTTAGCCCTTCAAAAGATACCGTTGCTTCAATAAATCTTTCATGGTCCAGCATCTAATAATCATTAGTTTTCTGAATTCTAAAACTTGGCTTTATAGTATTGTTCCACGATAACTGACCCACATTGTACAAGCCTATAGTGGACAGATGTGTAAACCAGGTGTCTGTCTATTCTTACGTGAAGGATTTTCCTCTCCAGTGACCAGTGTGTAGTCATAGTCTTGTCTCCTTACTAGGGCACTTCTGTCCAGTTTTGGGGTTGCTAGGAAATGACATATATAGGTTGCTTGGTGAACATAGAATTAGGGTAGAGAAGGAGGTGGCTCTTGGAGCTGTGTATGGTGAGATCTGGTACATTATCCCTGTGCTATATAAGACAGTACTTTTTTCATGACTCTGGTAGTCATGTCTGCCGTATTGGACACGTCTCTGCCCTGGAGAGGACCAGACGGATTTCTCCCTGTGTGGGTTGCCCTCCCTGACTGTCCTTCTACCATCAGTGTATCTCCAGGCAGTGTATACCTTTCAACATACCATCTCCCTATGATTAGATCCAGGCCAACCTTAAGAGTTCTGGCTGTTCCCTGAACTGAAATACAGTTGTATTTACAGATAACCTCTTAATTTAAGCACTGAGTGTAACTTTCACATGGAAACTTTAAGCAAGTTTTTGAGGGGCTATCTCTGTCACCCTAAAACGTTGCCCATCTTTCTGACCTTCACTTGCCCTCTTGGTTTACCATGGTCATGTTGGCTTTTTTTTCTCTCAAAAGCATCAAGATCATGCTCATTGGAGGGCCTTTGTATTTGCTGTTGCTTCTGTTTGGAATGCACCTACCCTAGGTCTGTTCATGGCTGCCTTTTTTAAGGCTTAAGTGTTGACTGAAATGTTGCCTCTTCAGGGAGATGTTCCCTGACCACTCTGGCCAAAGCGTGCTCTACTTTTTTGTCCTTCAAGGAGCCTATCTGTTCCTGAAGTTCTTATTTTTATGTTTGTCTTGCTTCACTAGAATGTAAGTTCCCTGCAGGTACAGACACTCTGTCTCCAATGTCTAGAACACATTATGGGTGCTCAGTAAATATTTGACTCAATGACTGCAGGAAAAAGTCATTAACTGTCCATCTAAATTTTAGTTCACTTTCAGCTTGAACTTCCACAGTGGAGTGAAAAAATGTTCTGGTTATAATCACTGATTGCAAAAGTTACATGTATATGGAATACTGCATTGTAACACTAGGCCGTGGACTTAACGGAACAATTAGATAATAATTAAAGATGTAATGAGTGTCACTGTTTTTCACAGATAGCCCTTTCTGTCAGTATCTGAAGCACTCAAAAAATGCAGTCTTAGTATTCATATAAACGTGTCTTTAGTTGGCCTTTCCTTATCCTTATTGAATGACTTTGCAGTATGGACAGTCAGCATGAGCTCCAGAGTCCCAGCTCCCCACTCACTCACCGTGTCCTCAGACAAATTGCTAAACTGTCTGTGCTTGCTTCTCTTCTGTGCAATGAGAACAGTCATTCCAACCCCACGGGATTCAGCAAAATGAAATGCTTCACACGTAATATCCTTCTTAGTTGGAGGTTGCTAGCTGGTTTTGCTCCTTAATTAAACAAATAAATTAACAAGAATATTGGTGAAACTTGTTATTTCTAAATTGATGCTAATTGTTAATTGTGTTTTGCCTAGTATCGGTGCTAATTATGAGTGGAGCTGACCTACTAAATGAGGTCTATATTTGTCTAAAATATTACTACTCTAGTTTTTGCTTTTTTGTCATAATAGAATTATATTTAAAATTGTAAGTACTTAAAGCAACATATATGTTGTAAGATCTTTTTAAGCAAGATTTTTGTTGATAATGCTTGCAGTAATTTAATCTTCAACAAAAACAATATGTTGACCTTAATACATTGGTAGTGTATTCATAATTTTACATGTTTGTTCCTCAAGCCCAGTTGTGCATTTCCAGTTTGCCATGACACAGAAGAGCGCTGTAGACTTGTGCTGAGCTATGTTCTAGAGGTAAGTTTAAGTTTAGTCTTCACTTTTTCAGTAAAGTTGGTACTTGATATGCAAATTACACTTGTTTGTTGGTGTCTAAATGTTACTCCAAATTGTGTTCTGCTGCAGTTTTTTTTTTCCTTAAGCATAAACTGATAATCAGATTCATTTTTCCGAAATATTTCAGATCAAACCAAGTTTTTAAAAGTCTGTTTCTGAGATGGAAATTTCTAAATTACTAAATTAAATTACTAAACATATTCAGTAGTCCAGATACTGTCTTATATTTAGTTTTCAGTTGACCTGAAGTTAGGTATATAGTGAATGCTTTTCCTTTTATTGAAGGGTTTAAAATCTGTCGATAGCAGCATCAAAAAAGAAAGCGACCTCCCAGCAGCTGACCCCAGCACTCCAATCCCGTTAAAATATGAAGACGAATCCACAAGAGGGGGTCCTGAGGGGCTAGAGAAGCAGATGGCCTTGTTTTTGGACAAAAGTAAGTTGAATTGATGTGCAAATAAGGCCTTCAATAGAATAATATACTGGTTCTTTATCAACAGCAGACTTATGTCAATTAAGACATTCATTGCAAGGCATTGAGAAAAGGATATGTGAACTGGAAGTAGGGGTAGTATTGTTTCATTTGAAATATAAAAAGGATATTTTTGATGTTTCATGGACATTTCTAATAAGAACATAAGGAGCCTGCATCTTCCCGTTACCCACAGTGAGGAACTAATGCCTCAGCCCGGTGGAGTTCTCAGAAATTGCTGCTTCAGTAAAAGCACTGGAGTGTGTAGGTGCCACAGACTTAGGAGCCCAACTGCCTAACTTCATATCTTGGCTTTGCTAGGGCAAGTTGTTCCACTTCTTTGAGTCACTTTTTATCTCTTTCAAAATAGAAACGATAATAATGGCTTCTTTAAAGGGTTGTTAGAATGATTAAATGGTTAATATATGTAAAGTGCTCAGAACAGTGTACATAATAAGCACTATAGAAGCGTAGGCTGTTGTTACCGCACAGTACTTGAATAAGCTACAAATGTCACTTTTAAATTATCTAGTTTGTTCTTCAGGAATATAACATCATGAAGAACATATGGACTTTGAAGCAGAAGCTGTGAATTTCTTCTTTATTTTAACCTAAGTTGTATTTCTTTTTCCAACCTTATTTATTTCCCCCTTTTAAATCAGTTTCAATTGTTAAAAAAAAGAAAGAAAGAAAGAAAGAAATGTAGAAAGCCTGTATGTTTGAAATACATTTGAATCACAGTGGAAGAAGTGCTTTCTGGACCCTTCTTTTCCTGAACAAACATGGTGGAGATAGGAGAGGAATAGATTTATCTACAGGCAGTAAGGAGATCACCCCAGGACTTTTGCCATTCTTTTTTTCTGGAATACCTTTTCTGTCTCTTCCTCCTCCTCTGTCTCCCCTGTTGAAAATCCTGCTCAAGCTCAGAATCTCCATGCTTCCCTCTGTTCTCCATCAGAATTACTTGATTCTCTGACCACTTTGTCCTGTGAGCCTGCCTTATGTCAGAGTTCCTGCGTTAAATGGTTTTACACACACATGCACACACAAACAGCTGTGAACAAGAACTTCATCTGACTTAACTTTAGTTTCTCACAATGCCTCTTACTCACAGATGATGCTTATATCAGCAGAGGAAAGAAATCCATACACACATCAAACCATAATGAAGACTAAGTGTCTTTCATCGCCTTGAAAGACTTGGGTTCTAGCTGATTTAAAAAATGAGAAACCTTCAAGCTGGGAGAAGTCGGGGTGTGTTTTTGTTATTTGTGGAGCAAAATGTTCCACAGTATTTTGTTCTTTCTCTGTTAATTACACTTTACATAGTTTGTTGTGGTTTATGTTATCAAGCATAGAGGCCATATAACTTCATGTCACAGTTTCCAGTGCCTGGCACAGTACTTGCCACAAAAATGATCATTTGTTGAGTATAAAGAAGGTAGTGATGGGTTGGACTTTAAATAGAGTATTCCTGATAGAGGAAACAGTAAACTAAGATGGGAGATAGGAAAAACAGGCATCTTTATAGGTGACAAGTAGTAACTTAACATTGGCTGACGGGTAGTAGGATGGACAAGTAGGAAGTGAGACTGAGAAACATGTAACTAGTTTAGGCTAAGTGGGAAGAAACCATTTTCCTGTTTGAGGACAGGCTTTCACAATGATCTAAGCTGTGCTTTAGGAAGGTAAACTTTGACAGGTTGACACATAGACTGGAGAAAGGAGACAGGTGTCACTCATGAGGTTAGCTATGTCAGTGACACTGGAAGAGAATGACAGAGTTGCCGATGTCAGGGAAGCAGAAGGCCTTGGAACTCCCAAGTGAGAGTCTTTTAACACAGCCGTTTTACTCCAGTGTATTTAAGCAGTAAAGCATAATATTTACCAGTCTTGTCACAATAGCACCTAAGTCTAGAGTGTTTCTATCAAGAAACAGAAAATATTTTTTGTGCGTGAGACTTACAGTCAAATGTGCTGTCTTTTTTTTTCTCTCCATGTCACAGTGGGCTCCCTTCAGAAGGGCAATTATTCCAGTCAATCTGGAATGATCCCTGGCTCTTGGCAACATAAAATGAAACTTCAGCTGATTCTCAAGTCGTCGAAAGCCTATTATGTTTTGTCTGATGCTGCCATGAGTCTTCAGAAATATGGAAGAGCATTACGATACATTAAATTAGCTTTGCAAAGCCATGGTAAGCCACTGTACATGAATATGTTTAATAGGCCCTGGGAAGGGAGAACAGAGAAGACATCTGAATCACAGTGGAAGTTTACTCCTGTTTCTGTTGTGTATCTTTATTTTAAAATGACTCTTTCCAATCCTGTGTGTGTTACCTTCTATTTTAGTTTCTGCTCAATGGTTGAACGTCTCTGCTTTGAAATACATGAAGCCGTAATATGTATTATTGGACATAAAATAAACAGTAGCTACGGTGGTACAAAGTGTTCTGCTGGTAACACAGTTTCTTCATATTTCCTGTGGTCATTAACTGTTTCTGCGTTTGTGTTTTTTCTTCTTCCCGCCCTTTCTAAACAGACACTTATTGCTGCCTCTGCACCAATATGCTTTCCGAAGTGCTGCTGTTTCTCTCTCAATATTTGACACTTTGTGGTGATATCCAACTAATGCTGGCCCAGAATGCAAATAATAGAGCAGCACACCTTGAAGAGTTTCATTACCAAACAAAAGAAGACCAGGAGATCCTGCATAGCCTTCACAGAGAGTCCAGTTGCCAAGGTGTGCCACAGACTTGGACCACGTGGTTCATGGTGGGACTATGCAGTCTAGCTCATGCTTGAGTATTCAGAAAAGGGACAGAAATATTAGAGTTTTGATATTTGCTTTGTATTTATTTATTTATTTATTGAGACGGAGTTTCACTCTTGTTGCCTAAGCTGGAGTGCAATGGTGCACTCTTGGCTCACTGCAACCTCTGCCTCCCGGGTTCAAGCGATTCTCCTGCCTCAGCCTACCAGCTAGCTGGAATTACAGGCATGCGCCACCATGCCTGGCTAATTTTGTATTTTTAGTAGAGACAAGGTTTCTTCGTCTTGGTCAGGCTGGTCTCGTACTCCTGGCCTCAGGTGATCGCCCACCTTGGCCTCCCAAGGTGCTGGGATTATAGGTTTGAGCCACTGTGCCTGGCCTACTGTTTTATTCGTTTCTTAATTTTAAAATTAAACATAATCTTGTGTATTTGTATAAAATGGTTTTTAAGTATTTTATAATTACTGTTTATATAACTAGAACTAACTATAAAGTAAGATATGAAGACAGTTGTGTGTCAACTTTTTTTTTTTTTTTTTTTTTTTTTTTGAGACACAGTCTTGCTCTGCTGCCCAGGAGGCTGGAGTGCAGTGGGGCGATCTTGGCTCACTGCAACCTCTACCCACTGGGTTCAAGTGATCCTCCCATCTCAGTCTCCCAAATAGCTGGGACTAGTACATGCGCCACCACACCTGGCTAATTTTTGTATTTTTATTAGAGACAGGGTTTCACCATGTTGCCCCAGACTGGTCTCAAACTCCTCAACTCAAGCGATCCTCCCGCCTTGGCCTCCCAAAGTACTGGGATTACAGGCATGAGCCAATGCGCCTGGCCTTGTGTCAGCTTTTTACACTCTTCTTTTCATGAGGTTCTTCTAGGTAACACTTGTAGGCAGCTAACAAAGCCATGGGTTTCCTTTTGAAAGGTATAACAGTTGATGAAGGTGATTCATTACCTTCTGGATGATTCCTCGGGGCTGAAATAAAGTGATCATTGTTTTTAACATTGGTTCATAGCCAGCGTCTTACTGAATATGTCACTGTGTTTGGAATTATCAGGCTTTAAAACTGGGAAATAGAGTAATCTGATCCGCAGCAGCGCTATCGCTCCCTCTTACCTCAGCACAGTTGTGTGAGCACGCTGCCATTAAGACAGTGAACGAAGTAAAAGATGAGTCTTCTGAAGGTGCTTCTGTAATGTCTCATGGGGTTGTTTTATTATGCTCTTAAATTGTTATACTAAATATGACTTGATGTTTGTCTTCCAGAGTTTCAGACAACTCACAGCTGGAGGAGTGTACTGGGGGAGAGGGAAAAATGTCTTATTTTCTAGTGTTTTTGCCCTTTCTTCCCCTCTCTCCGTCTTTCTCAAATAATCATTTTTTTATAGATATAGTAGGAAAGTCCTCAGTGTATTTTTACTACTCCCATCATAGCAATTTCAGTTAAATACTTCTTTTTACTCCAGTTCCCACTTTGATGGCATTTTTAATCTTCTGAGGGCTTCTGTAGCAGCTTCTTCAGTGACTTAAAGTTAATATTGACACATTATTTCAAGAACTATTTCCATTAATTAAAAAATAACAACTTTGTATTAGTGGACAACTTTAGGTCTGCCCTAATAAACAAACGTACCTGGGAAAACCTGGATCACAGGAATTGCGTGATATTCATAGTCAGGAAAATATTTTTATCCAACATTAATATCCCAAGAAATGTAATTTTATAAATAAATAGATCTTTATTATGAAACTTAAATATTGTTGTATTGATTGAATCTTAGTATACTTATACCGTATTGCATTTTTTATTACTTAAAATTTAGAATCTCAGGTTCATGTAGATACTGAGGAAGAAGGAATCACATGACTCGCATTGATGTATCCCTTTTTTCTTTTCAGGATTTGCATGGGCAACTGATTTGTCTACAGACTTAGAAAGTCAACTTTCTGTTAGTTGTAAATGTTACGAGGCTGCTAATGAAATCTTGCAATTTAGTGACTTGAAAAGCCAAAATCCAGAACACTATGTACAAGTATTGAAGAGAATGGGTAACATTAGAAATGAAATTGGAGTGTTTTACATGAATCAGGCGGCAGCATTGCAGAGTGAGAGAGTAGGTGAGTATTTCTTTAGATTCCTCTCTTTATTGCCTGTTCTCTTAGAAAATTATGCTAATTTTGTATGAGTTAAGCAAAGAACTGTGGCACTTGATTTTATGTCATAAAGAGGTGCTTTGTTAGAGAACCTCTTATTATTCTTAAGAAATAGAATTAGGAAAACATGATTTTTCCCTTGGAATTAATTATTTCAATGTTCTTCATTCTCACTTTTGTACTCAATCCATCTGATCAATTTAGAAGCAAATGGGACATCCAATCATGTGCCAGGCTGTATGTTGGATACGGAACTGGCTAAAATATGGTCCTCTCTTCATGTTGGGAAGCTGGATAGGAACACAAAGAACACTGTGGATGAGTACAGATGAAGTATAATGGGAGACTGGGGAAAGAAGACATAAGGTCATAAGTTAGAGGGATTTTGGGAAAGTGTCATTGAGCAGGGTGGTGCGGGGTGTGTAGTGTCAGCTGGCAAATGTGAGGAAAGGAGGGTGCTCCAGACCGAAGAGGCGGCGTTAGGAAGAAGCCAGGGATCTCAGAGGGTGCAGGTGTACGTTTAGAGGGAGCAAGAGGCCTGTGTGAGGAAGATGTGGGATAGTGGGTAAGTAAGATGCGGGATGGCGTAGTAAGATGTGGGATGGTGTAAGTAGGATGTGGGAGTAAGATGTGAGATGGTGAATCATTTGGGCCCATGTTGAATTTGAGTTCACTATGGAACGTGTATGTGAAAAGTCAGTTTGAAGTGTGCTGAGAGCTGTAGGGCTATCGAGATAGACTGAGGCCGTTCATTTAAAGGGAATAGTTGGAGCTGTGAGAATAGACGGGAACATAAAGGCTGGCCACAGGGAGAGAACAGAAAGGGGCTGAGGTAGGACTGAGGTCAGCAGGTTAGCTGAGCATCTGTGGGCCTTTGGTTTTGGTTTTTGGTTTTGTTTGTTTGTTTGTTTTTGTTTTTGTTTTTTAAGAGACAGGGTCTTACTCGGTCGCCCAGGCTAGACTGCAATGGCATGATCATAGCTTGCCGCAGCCTCGAACTCCTTGGCTCAAGCAATCCTCTCACCTCAGCCTCCCAAGCAATTTTTAAAAATTTTTTTAGAGATGAAATCTTGCTATGTTGCCCAAGCTGATCTCGGACTCCTGGCCTCAGGCAGTCCTCATGCTTTGACTTCCCAAAGTGCTGGGATTACAGGCATGAGCCACCGCACCCAGCCTGTGTGCCTGTTGATCTGTGAATAATGCTTGGCACTTAGGGATACAGATGTTGCCCTCAAAGAGTTCCTTGCTAGTGGGAGAACCTGTGCATTTAAGGTGCATCTGGAGGGACAGTCAGTGAGGGAATTTGGGAAGTGGTCGTCAGGAAGCTAGGGAAATTGGATATAACACAGGTTGTAATCTCTTCAAACTCCATGGGAACCACGCTTTTGGATCTTCACAAAATGACACTTTGCTCAGATGTTTTTCTTTGCTTATTTGAATATCATTTGGTTAATAGTGAAGAGGGTTATGCTTAAGTATTGTACAGTAGACCCCACTTATCCTTGGAGGATGCATTCCAAGATCCCCAGTGGATGCCTGAAACTGGAGAGTTCTTCTGTGCTTTTTCCTGTACATACATGCTGTGATGAAGTTTAATTTACAAATTAGGCAAGTAAAAGATTAACAGCATTTACAACAGTATGGCAGCATCATTACTCTGGTGCTTTGGGACATTATTAAGTCAAAATAAGGGTTACTTGTACAAAAGCACAGCGATATCATAACAGTCGATCGGATACCCCAGACAGCTACTAAGTGACTAATGGGCAGGCCAGGCATACAGCATGAATCTGCTGGACAAAGGGATGGTTCCCATCCTGGGTGAGGCGGAGCAGGATGGTGAGAGACTTCATCAAGCTGTATTAGTCAGCTGGGGCCGCTGTAATGAAATATCATAGACTAGATGACGTCAATGAGAAATTTACTGTCTTATATCCATCCATAAGGTGGCAGCAAGGTTGGATTCCTCTCATGCTTCTCCCTTGGCTTGCAGATAACCGCCTTGTCACTGTGTCCACACAGGGCTTTCTCTCTGTGCATACCCCTGGAGTCCCTCCCTCTTTTTAAAAGGACACCAGTCATACCGGATTAGGATCCCACTCTTACAGTCTCATTTAACCTTAATTACATCTTTAAAGGACCTGTCCTAAATGTAGTCAGATTCTAAGGAACTAGGGGTTAGGGCTTCAGCATATGAACTCTGAGGGACACGTTTACCTTCATGTAACAGGCATGGTGAGAGCAATGAGCCGTGGTTGACTGCAGATGACTGGCTCGCCACCACACTCCTGTCACTGCCATCCTCCTCTTAAGACAGTGCTAGGGTTTACACTGATGTCTGCTTACACAGTTGTTTTCTTTCTTTCTCTGTAAAGTGAGCAAATCTGTGTCTGCTGCCGAGCAACAGTTGTGGAAAAAAAGCTTTTCTTGTTTTGAAAAGGGAATTCACAACTTTGAGTCAATTGAGGATGCCACAAATGCCGCCCTTTTATTATGTAACACGGGAAGACTCATGCGAATTTGTGCACAGGCGCACTGTGGTGCAGGTGATGAATTTAAACGTGAATTTTCACCAGAAGAAGGCTTATATTATAATAAGGTAACACATTCGCTTACATGTTGGGCCTCATCCATTCATACCTGTCATTTATTTACATTTTTCCATTGTTTCACTAAAGTATTACAAAACTAAAAATAATTAAACTCTGCTAATGGCACAAGACTAGACAGATCATGAAAACACTTGGAACCTGGCCTAAGACTAGTAAGAATTGAGTATTGAAGATGACATGTGGAATTGGGAGGGAAAAGATGATTCTGCAAATTGTTTGTACAACGAGCATGAATATCAAATGGATTAAAGATTGACATGGAGAAAGTGAAACTGTAAAAGTACTAGAAGAAAATATAGGTAGAGGCTTATATGATAGGTTATGGAAGGACTTTCCCAGCATGGCACAGTAAGCGGAAATCCTGGGTAAAAGTTGAATAAACTCAAATGTGTGAAAATAAAGTTCTAAAAATGCACAAATGTATAAAAAAGATCTAAAAATGCTGTCTCATTTTGGCATTATAATATTTTTAGTGGAGATGAGGTTTCGCCATGTTGACCAGGCTGGTCTCAAACTCCTGGCCTCAACATTGAGTTTTATTTATTAGATTGCCAAATTTTATGACAAATGATCACACCCACTGTTGCAGAGGGTCCAAGGATATGAGCACTCATATAATGGAGTGATTGAAGCCATTTAAATGACATTAGTGAAGAATGTTGGTGGCATAATAAATTTTTAAATGAATGACCGTTTTTGATTTTCTTTTTAAAATTTATATATACACAGAAAAGAGTGAATAAATAAACACCAGAAATGTAGAAATTATTGCTGGGATATTAAGTGTGGTTTTGTTTTTGGTTTCAATATAATGGCCATGTATTTGAGGATTGGGGTAACAAGGTAGGAGGAGATACTTCTTTTTACAGTAAAATTTGGCATGTTTTAAATCTAATGTACTAGTTATAGAAACTAATTTTCATTTAGAAAGAAAAAAAAAAAGGAAACAAGTGCATCCTCACGCTCAGCCTGAGTCAGAAAGCAGCACCACGGATCGGCTTCTTATAGCCTTGAGACGGGAACACAGTGGTCTTCAGTCTACTCAGAATAACTTTCTTCATTGAAATATTTTCACTGACTTATTTTTTCATTTTTGCTCATAATATTGCCCCTTGATAAATCATCCCCAAATTAAATTAACGTCTGGGTAGTTATGAAGTACGTTTTATTTTAATACAGTATTGGTATATGTTTAAGCTGAGTCAGAAATGCACACTGCTTTCTCCTTTGCAGGCTATTGATTACTATTTGAAAGCGCTGAGGTCATTGGGAACACGAGACATACACCCAGCTGTTTGGGATTCAGTGAACTGGGAATTGTCCACTACTTACTTTACTATGGCAACTCTACAGCAAGATTATGCTCCATTGTCTAGAAAAGCTCAGGAGCAGGTGATAATATTTGCTGGATTATAAAATAAGTTCTCAGTCTCATTCCCTTGTTTAACAAATATTTAGCATCTCTTGTCTTTTCCAGAATAAGCAGTATTTAAACGTTTTAAAAACTCCTACAGTCAGATTACGAGCTTGTTTTTTTCTCCCCCCTTAAAAAAACTAAACAAACAGATTGAAAAAGAAGTCAGTGAGGCCATGATGAAGTCCCTGAAATACTGCGATGTGGATTCCATGTCTGCTCGGCAGCCCCTTTGTCAGTATCGAGCTGCAACCATCCATCACAGGCTGGCCTCCATGTACCACAGCTGTCTGAGGAATCAGGTATTGTCAGTCCAAGTTAAGTACAGTGCCACATCAGTTGAGAAGTGTTCTGGGTTCTTTTTGTTTTTTTAACATGGTCCATGGTCTCATATATATATATATATATATATATATATTTTTTTTTTTTTTTTTTTTTTTTTTTTTGAGACAGAGTCTCGCTCTGTCACCCAGGCTGGAGTGCAGTGGCTGGATCTCAGCTCACTGCAAGCTCCGCCTCCCGGGCTTACGCCATTCTCCTGCCTCAGCCTCCCAGGTAGCTGGGACTACAGGCGCCCGCCACCTCGCCCAGGTAGTTTTTTTTTTGTATTTTTTAGTAGAGAGGGGGTTTCACCGTGTTAGCCAGAATGGTCTCGATCTCCTGACCTCATGATCCACCCATCTCGGCCTCCCAAAGTGCTGGGATTACAGGCTTGTAATTACAGGTAGCTGGGATTACAGGCTACCGTGCCCGGCCAAGTCATATATATTTTAAATGCAATCTGTGTTAATTAGCTACTTTAGAAAAACTTGTAGTGTAGCTGGTTTTCCCTCTCACCAAAAATCTATACCGTGTATTTTTTTCTACTCTACTTGATTGGGTCTTAGTTTGTGAACTTACCTATTTGCCTGGGTGTGTTACTTCGGTTTTTTAAAATGTAGGTAGGCTTTATAGTAATGGTTCAGTGCCAATTTTACAGTACTAGTCTCCCATCTTTTATTGTAAAATAGAGCATATATATGAAAATACAGGCAGGGCACAGTGGCTCACACCTGTCATCCCAGCACTTTAGGAGGCTGAGGCAGGTGGATCACCTGAGGTCAGGAGTTCGAGACCAGCCTGACCAACGTGGAGAAACCCCATCTCTACTAAAAATACAAAATTAGCCAGGTGTGGTGGCGCATGCCTGTAATGCCCGCTACTCAGGAGGCTGAGGCAGGAGAATCGCTTGAACCTGGGAGGCAGAGGTTGCGGTGAGCCGAGATCACACCATTGCACTCCAGCCCGGGCAACAAGAGCAAAACTCCATCTCAAAAAAAAAAAAAGAAAGAAAAAAAAAATACATGTGGAACATACGTACAGTTTACAGAATAAAAGGAAACCCCTGTGTCCCTTGTCTGGAGGTTGAGGAATAGAGGAATCCTCCGGAGTGCCCCGTATGCCCCTCCCTGGTGTGTCTTCCTTGCCGTCCAAAAATTAGCCAAGCAGTAGTGGTGGGTGCCTGCAATCCCAGCAACTCGGTAGGCTGAGGCAGGAGAGTTGCTTGAGTTCAGGAGGCGGAGAGGTTGCAGCGAGCCAAGATTGCACCACCGGACCTCCAGGTGAACTGCTGTCCGAAAATTTCTGCTGTGTCTGTGCCTTTTTTGTGCTGTGCCACTTAAATGGTATGTCTACATTGTGCTCTGTGGTGAGCATGGGAAAACGAATCTGCTGTTGGTGTTCTGTGGCTTACTGCCTTTCACTTAACATCATGTTTTTGAGATACATCTGTGTTGGCACAGGTAGCTATTCATTTTCTCAGCTCAGTAGTCATTAAATGACTATATCGTAGCTTGTTTATCTAGTCTATGATTACTGAATTTTGGGATTATTCCAGTTTGATGCTATTAGAAATAATGAATACCAACAGTATTGTACATTAATCCTGCTGCCCAGATCCCTGTGTCTCTGAGAATTATCCGAGGCCTAGGATAAAGGCGCCTGCCTTCAGAGAGATTGCTTGGCTTCTGCTACGCGTCTCGGGCCTGTAGTTTCTCAGTGGTGTTTTTTTGTTTTGTTGATCTTTCTCCCCTGCAAGGTGAGACTACTTACCTTACATGAGTTTACTTCTGGGTTGCCCTTATCCTGAAAAGTATCATCTTTTGAGATACAGCTTAAACTGGAGAAGATTTTTTTTTTTTTTTTTGGAGACAGGGTCTCACTCTGTTGCCCAGACTGGAGTGCAGTGGCACGATCCTCGCTCACTGCAACCTCCGCCTCGCAGGCCTCCCCACTCTTTTGCATATAGATATCTAGTTGTCCCAGCACCATTTGCTGAAAGACTATTCCTCTGCTGAATCGTCTGGGCACCCTTAAGCTTGCTTTTGCCCTCAGGATATTAGGTCATCTGGGGAAACCTGAATTTTGGTTGAGGACTTCCTAAGGCGAAGTGGAAAGAAATCTTCTCCAGTTCATACCTGTAATCCCAGCACTTTGGGAGGCCAAGGCGGGCGGATCATTTGAGGTCAGGAATTCGAGACCAGCCCGGCCAACATGGCAAAACCCCATCTCTACGAAAAAATACAAAAATTAGCCAAGCAGTAGTGGCGGGTGCCTGCAATCCCAGCAACTCGGTAGGCTGAGGCAGGAGAGTTGCTTGAGTTCAGGAGGCGGAGAGGTTGCAGCGAGCCAAGATTGCACCACTGGACCTCCAGCGTGGGCGACAGAGCGAGACCCTGTCTCAAAAACAAAAAGAAAGGAAATGGATTAAGACCTCAATATAAAAGCTAAAACTAATAAGACCTAGTAAGACCCACAGTGGGGGAAAAATAACTAAGCAGCACTTAATGAAGCCTGAAGTAGTTACCATGAAGGATTTGTTTGTTTTGGTTTGGTTCTAGGTTGGTGACGAACACCTCAGGAAACAACACCGGGTGCTGGCCGATCTTCATTACAGCAAGGCCGCAAAGCTATTTCAGCTGCTCAAAGATGCTCCCTGCGAGCTGCTGAGAGTACAGCTGGAGAGAGTAGCGTTTGCTGAGTTTCAGATGACCAGTAAGTCTTACTTCTCATTTCTCAGATATGTATGCACTGGCTTAGTGCTGGATTGTCTTAGAGTAAGGCAGGCCTGTGAATCTAAATCATACTGTTTTCTTTTTAATTTGCCCCATAGTTAATGACTTTGGGAAGGGAGGGGGAGAAATCTCTACACTTTTTGAAGTACTTTTTAAAACTTAGAGAAATGTATTAGATTATGTTCAGTGACTAGAAATATTGAGATGTGTCCCATGACCCCTTATTTGGAAAAAAAATTGACAAATTAATTTAGACAGTTAAAGATTTCAATCAGCCAGGCACGGTGGCTCACGCCTGTAATCCAAGCAATTTGGGAGGCTGAGGTGGGCAGATCACCTGAGGTCAGGAGTTCAAGACCAACCTGGCCAACATTGTGAAACCCCGTCTCTACTAAAATTACAAAAATTGGCCGTGTGTGGTGGTGCAGGCCTGTAGTCCCAGCTACTGAGGAGGTTGAGGTGGGAGAATGACTTGAACCCAGGAGGTGGAGCTTGCAGTGAGCCAAGATCATGCCACTACACTCCAGCCTGGGCGACAGAGCGAGACTGTGTGTCAAAAAAAAAAACAAGAAAAAAAAAAAACCAAAGATTTAAATCGGCATGAAAAATTTGGGAATGGAGAGGCAACAGTAAAGGAGTAGTGGGCCATATCAAACCCTTTAAACATAGAACTGACCCTTGGATTGTGGTTCCAGAACAGATACTACTGTAGAGCCTGACCAAGGTAAAGGTAAGTCGGGAGATAGAGAAGGGTGAAAGTGAGAATGCTTTCTTATGTTATTTTCCATGGCATGGAGTAAGCAGATACTTCAACCACTTAATGATTTTTTCCTAAGTTCTCCCCCTCTCTCTCTTGCTCACCTGTTCTCCTCTCTCACAGAGGAGTCTTTTGAGAAATATCTCCTGTGTGGTCAAGAAGCAAGAAACAATTATTTGAAGTGCAGCAGTTCATTTAGTTTTCCAGCCTTGTGTAAAGTCAGATTAACACTTTAAATCTGTATGACTTAGTTTACACAGGCACACAGTAGCCCTGGAAGGGTGTATAAGAAACTGGTAACGTGTTCCCTTTGGGGAGGAAACCTGCAAGGCCAGGAGGAGGGATTTCACTGCATACCCATTTGGACCTTGTAAATTTGGGGAATGTATTACCTATCTAAAACAGTTTCTAAAAATGGTTTTTACTAAAATTAATTTTTTGTTGGCATATAATGCATGGCTAGATGTGTGGGACAGTCACCAGAATTAACAGTAGCTCTTGATGTGGGGAAGGTCTGGGGAGAGTGATCTTCAGTTTTCACTTGCACCTTTGAATATTCTGCCTTGTTTGAATTCCTTAGAATGATCAAGATCTTTTTTGTTGTTGGGGTTTTTTGTTTTTGGTTTTTTGTTTTTGAGACAGAGTCTTAACTCTGTCACCTAGGCTGGAATGCAGTGGCATGGTCATGGCTCACTGCAACCTTGACCATCTGGGCTCTAGTGATCCTCAGCCTCCCAAGTAGCTGAGACCACAGGCGCTAATTTTTGAAAAATCTTTTGTAGAGACAGGGTCTCACTATGTTATAAGCCCAGGCTGGTCTCAAACTCCTGAGCTCAAGCGATACTCCTGCCTCAGCCTCCCAAAGTGCTGGAAGATACTGGAACAATTTGCTAAGATGATAAGCGTGTTTAATTCCCTCCTTTAAATGTTTTACTACTATGAGTACTTTAGAAAGTAATGTAAATATTTTAGAGGGTTTTGTTAGCCAGGTTTGTGGGTTTTGTAAGCCAAGTTAATAAATGCTCTAGGTTGTGACACCTTTTATTCTATCTTATTTTACCCAGTTTTTTTTTTTTTTTTCCTAGTACATAGGATTCAGATCTCCCTTCCTAATGTCTATATTGTCTGGTCCTTGTCCCAACGACACTTTCATACATAATCAATAGCTTGTCTTCCAGATGCCAAATCTATGCTGAAATCACATTGACCCATTGATTTTAAAGATAATAAGTTGTTTAGAAAGTGTGGGATTATGCTTTAAAGGAAGAAGGCAACAGTTACTGTCTCTCACCACCTGCAGAGTTGGGGAGTCCCCAAGACCACTTGCACTTCTCACACTAACTGGAGGTTTGTCAGCGGTCTCCAGGACCACCCTCGGGTTTGAGAATTTGCTGAAGGACTCACAGAACTCACTGAAAGCTGTTCTGCTTACAGCTACAATTTCTCACATTGAAAGGATGTACATTAAAATGAGCCAAAGGAAGAGGCTCGGAAGGCAGAGTTGTAGAGAGTTCTAAGTGCCGAGCTCCCAGTTCCTCTGCCGCTGGAGTTACAGATAGTGCTAACTCACCCCGGCAGTGACACGTGACAGTACTCACCAAGTGTATAAATCACTGCATGTACAACTGGGGAAGCTCATCCAAGCCTTGGTGTCCAGAGTTTTCATTGGAACTTGGTCACATAGACATGGTTGACTGCCATGTGGCTGATCTTTGTCTCCAGTGCCTCCAGAGGTTGAGCTGTTACCCTGGGGCCCAAAGCCCCCACAGTAAATCCCATTGTTAGGCTATCCATTGTGACCCAAGCCCCCTGCCAGGTAAACAGAGGCATTCTTACTGGGCAGGACATTTCAAGGACTTAGTGATTACCTTCTAGGAGCCAAGGACAAAGACCAAACCTCTCTTTGTACAAGATGAATCCTCTACTGCACACCACCGCACACATGATTGAGTTCTAGGAGAACAGGAGCAAAGGTGTGTTGTGGTGTCTGATAACTGTAGAAAAATTGTATTCAGAAGGCTCTAGAATAAAACAAAACCTTGTTCATCTGGTCTGACTTCCTGCCTTTGAACAGAAATGTAAGAAACTATTTTACAGGTATGACTGCTGATAGTAAGTGCTTATGTGACTTGACCATACAGCTGGTAAATTGTGAGGTGGGCCTCGAGCCCCAGACTCTTTTCCACTGGTCCCTTCTCCTAAGGCTCCTGTTCTGAAAAAGTGGCCTATCTTGACAAAACCAAATGGTGAGGCAGGGAAGCAATGATTATTTATCGCTTTGTTCAGACTTAGTATTTTTCTCAAGGGAATATTATTAAACAGAAGTTGGATTTAGAAGAATTAAGATTCTCTTTAGCTTCCTTTATAGCATTTTGAAAGTCTGAATTTTCATTAATACATTAACATTAGATGGGTTTCTAGATTTATATTAAAGAAATGAACATTTTGTATTTAACACTTTAGGTCAGAATAGCAATGTTGGAAAGTTGAAAACACTATCTGGGGCTCTTGATATAATGGTGAGAACCGAGCACGCATTCCAGCTGATCCAGAAGGAGCTTGTAGAAGAATTTGGCCAGGTAAATGGAGGAAATGACTGTCTTTGGATTTCGTTTGTCTTAAACTATATGGTGAATGTACATAGTGGGCATATTATGTGTGTGAGTATGTGTATGTTTTATGTGTGTGTGTATATATATACACACATGTACATATGTATGCTGTGTGCTGAAACATTTTAACAGTGATTTGTTATATTTGCCTAGTAGAATTATTCATCTCCTTTCTTTAATTTGCAAGTATTTTAAAATATTTTTAAGAGTATATCTCAACAAGACCATAGTTAGCAAATTATAAAGTCTCAAGTTTTTTGTTGCTGTTGGTGGGAATTTGTTTTGTTTTATGTTTTAAAAGAAAAGACCTCTGCCCTCCTTTGTAATTTCCATTAAAATGCCTGGGAGCAGTTGAATGGTGACTGGGCCTAAGCAGGCTCCTCAGGAAGGAATTTCTCGTTTTCTGGGCATTCCAGCATTCGTGTTACCTTCTACTGTTGTAAGAGCTTCCTGAAGGCCCCATGGTGCAGCCACCTATTGCTCTTCTAGCCCTGCTTGGTCAAATCCTGTGTGGTACCGTACATTTCCGTGTTGTGTCTAATGTTGCAAAGTCAGGATTAATTTCTTCTACAAAAGTGCCTATGTGGGCTGAGACATTTTAATTATGTGTTTTAGTCTATCAGAATGATCATAGGTGTGCTTTCTGTTTGTTTGTTTAGGGTTAAACATTTGTTAGATTAATGAAACTGCAGTTGCATCACTTGATACGGTATGAAACTACAGCTGTTGGGTAGCTCCAGGAAAATAACTTGTTGTTGTTTTTAGCCTAAGAGTGGTGACGCTGCTCCAGCTGCTGATGCTTCTCCTAGTCTCAATCGAGAAGAAGTGATGAAACTCCTCAGTATATTTGAGTCTCGGTTGTCATTTCTTCTCCTTCAGTCCATTAAACTGCTATCTTCAACTAAAAAGAAAACAAGGTAAATTAAGTGGATATTTGTAGGAATTTCTTTCCCAGCACCCTACCTATAAAAATATTCTCTACTAACATAAAGGAAAAATAGTGGCCAGACACATTGGCTCACAGCTGTAATCCCAGCACTTTGGGAGGCCGAGGCAGGCAGATCACTTGAGTTGAGGAGTTCGAGACCAGCCTGGCCAACATGGTGAAACTCCCATCTCTACCAAAAATACAAAAACTAACTGGTGTGGTGGCGGGCGCCTGTTAATCGTAGCCACTGGGAAGGCTGAGGCACGAGAATTGCTTGAACCCAGGAGGCAGAGGTTGCAGTGAGCTGAAATCACACCACTGCACTCCAGCCTAGGCAACAGAGTGAGACTCTGTCTCAAAAAAAAAAAAAAAAAAAGAAGGAAAGAACAGATAGTATTCTGTCTTGTCTTCTATGTGGATAGTTCAGAATTTTAAGTGGTGTTCCTTCTTGACTTGTTAAACTAGGTAAGAACTCTCTCCATGAAGCCTTCTATGTATTGAAATTACAAAAAGAAAGAAATCTTGCTGCCTAAGGGCAAATACTCTGTTGTTAACGTTTTCCCTGAGGGAGATGAGTAACCCTGGAATGAAGATCTGTGTTTCTAGTGACACTTCTGAATGTTGTGATTAATGGAGAGCCTGGACTGGAGTTTTGATGCTCAGGGCCAAGTGCAGAGTAGAGGACAGAACACGGAAGCAGGAGCACACACCTCCGCAGAAATGTTCTCGTGGCCTTGGGTTATCTTGTTACACTTACATTCTTTTGCCAAAGTTGTTATTTTGGCATTATTGATTTAATTTGAAATTTCAGTAGTAGTACTAGATCAGGAAAGTAATATAAATGATATGCCTTCCTTGTTTTTAAATGTAAGTGCAATCTGACCATACAACAAAATTTGGAAAATAGAGAAAAGGAAATGAAAACCATTTATCCTAATACATCCATTGTTACCAGTTATCTTATGTATATTTTACCAATTTATAATCGTAGGGTACAGGTCATTTTTGTCTTTTCTTTTTTTTTTTTTTTGTTATATACAGTAAAATGGACTCTTTGTGGTGTATCCTTCTTAAAATCTTGACAAATGCATACCGATGTGTGCCTGCCACCACAGTTATGACAGAAAACAGTTCCATCGCTCCAAGAATTCTTCCTGCTGTCCTTTGCAGTCAACCCTGCCCCTGCCCCCAGTTCCTCAGGATCTCAGGGAGAAAGTTTTCAGTCTTTTACCATTAAGCCTCGTATCAGCTGTGGGGCTTTGTAGAGGCCTTTATCAAGTTGAGGATGTTTTCTTCTATTCTGAATTTGTTAAGAGTGTTTTTATCATGAATGGATATTGAATTTGTGTCCAGTGCTTTTACTGCATCTGTTGAGATGACCACATGGTTTCCCTTGTTTAGCCTGTTAATATAATGGATTACATTGATTCTTCAAATGTTAAACCAACTTTGCATTCCTGGGATAAATCCCAGTTTGTTGTGATGGAGTATTCTTTTTATGTATTACTGGATTCAGTTTGCTGACATTTTGTTGATAATTTTTGTGTTTGTGCATAGGGGATAGTGGTCTACAGCTCACTTTTCTTATAATGGGTTTGTCTGGTTTGAGTATTAGAACAGTGCTGGCCTCATAAAGTCTGTGAGTCATGTTCCCTCTTCTATTTTCTGAAAGAGATTGTACAGAATTAGTACTAGGTCTTCATGTAGTAGAATTTACCAGTAAAACCATCTTAACCTGGAGTTTACTTTGTTGGAAGTTTTTAAACAGTGAGTTCAATTTCTTTTCTTGGATACAGTATTACTCAGGCTGTCTTTTTCTTGAATAAACGAAGGTCCATCATCTAAATTGTCAAATGTATAGGTTCACAGTTTCCCTTATTATCCTTTTAATGTCTAAGGGAGTTTGTGATGAGAGCCCTTCTTTTAGTCCTGATATTGGTAATCCTTCTTCTTTCTGTTTTTCTTGGTCATTCTAGCTAGAAGTTTATCAATTTTTTTTTTTTTCAATCTTTTCAATCTTTTCAAAGAACCAACTTTTGGCTTAATTGACTGTTTCTTACCCTCATTGTTTCTCTCTTAAATGTCATCAATTTCTGCCCTTCTACTTGTTTTGGACTTAATTTTCTCTTTTTCTAGTTTCTTAAGGTGGAAGCCTAGATGACTAATTTGAGACATTTATCCTTTTTAATAAAAGATTTTCTGCCAAAAATTTTCTTCTAAACCACTGCTTTTGCTACATCTTATATGTTTTTGTATGTTTTCTCTTTCATTTGTTTCAAAATAATATTTGATATCCTGAGACTTCTCCTTTGACCCATTTGTTATTTGAAGTGTGCTGTTTGGTTTCTAAATGAGACTTCTCCTTTGACCCATTTGTTATTTGAAGTGTGCTGTTTGGTTTCTAAATATTGGGGCTTGTTAGCTATCTTTCAATATTGCTTGCTAGTTGAATTCTGTTAATGTGCTGAGACCATAACTGTGTATGTTCTCTTCTTTCACATTTGCTTAGATTTGTTTTATGGCCTAGAATATGATTTGTCTTGGCACATGTTCCATGTGTACTTGAAAAATCTGCGTGTCCTGCTGTTTGGGGTAGAGAGCGTTGTGTAAATGTCAGTTAGGCTAAGCGTGTTCGGTCTTCTATATTCTCACTGACTTTCTGTCTTCTGCAATCAATATACCAAGCGAGGAGTGTTGAAGTCTCCAACTACACTTGTGGATTTATCTGTTTCTCCTCTCAGCACCGTCAGTTTTGTTTCATATGTTTTTGAAGCTGTGTTAGGTACACACACGTAGGATTGTGATATCTGGGAGAACTGACCTCCTTATTACTACAGATATCCCTCTTTGATAATATAGCCACTCAGCTGTCTTTTGGTTAATGTTTTTTTCCATGTATGTCTTTCATATTAAAATTGGGTTTCCTGTAAGTAGCAATAGTTGGGTCTTGCTTTTTATTTTTTATTTACTTATTTTTATGTTTAGTTTTTTTGAGACAGGGTCTCACTCTGTCACTCAGGCTGGAGTGCAGTGGCATGATCATAGCTCACTGCAGCCTCAACCTCCTGGGCTCAAGCAATCCCCCACCTCAGCCTCTCAGAGAAGCTGGGACCACGGGTGTGCACCACCACACCCAGCTAATTTTTTCATTTTTTGTAGAGATGGGGTCTTGCCATGTTGCCCAGGCTGGTCTCAAACTCCTGGGTCAAGCAGTCCACCTTCCTCAGACGCCCAAAGTGCTGGGATTACAAGCATGAGCCACTGCACCTGGCCCAAGGGTCTTGCTTTTTAAGTCCAGTCTTACAATGGGGTCTCTAGACCATTCACATTTAATATGATTCTTTCTCTGCCTTCTGTTAATTGAATAGTTTCTGTGATTCCATTTTATTTCACTATTGATTTATTATCTGCCACTTTTTCATTATTTTGGCTGTTGACCTAGGATTTTGCAGTATACATCGTTAATCTTGCATGAGAGGCCACCTTCAAGTAATATGATGCTGCTCTACATGTACTGTAAAGACCTTGTAACAGTAGACTCCCAATTCCTTCCTCCCGTCTTTTGTTCTGTTATTATACGTTTTACTTTTATGTATGTTATAAACACATAATACACTGCTACTAGTTTTTACCTTATACAGTTATCTTTAAGAGCAATTAAAGAGAACAGGAGATTTTATTTACCTTCATTTATTCCATTTCAGTACTCTTAACCTTTTTGTATAGGTTTCTGTCTAGCATCATATTCCTTCTGCCTGAAAAACTTCTTTTAGCATTTAGCATTGCTAGTTCTGCTAGCAATGAATTCTATCTTTTCAATTGAGAGAATTTTTATTCCTTTTTCAGTCTTGGAAGATCTTTGAGCAGAGTATAGAATTCTGGGTTAACAGTCCTTTTCATTCCATACTTTAAAGATGTCACTCCATTG